AAAAGGTGTTTTAAAAGATAAGATAACTGCATTAATTTTAAGTCAACAAATTACCAACATAACTGTTAATTGTGTACTGCAACGTGGTCCAATGCGAAGAAAGCCGTACAGGGGCCTGAGGTCATCTGAGACGTAAGCAGTGACGTAATCTCTAGCTCTGGACCAAGTTAATAATAGATGGGCCCAGTTTATTAAAAACAATAATTATTACGTATGAACCATATTTTTCTGTTCATGTCATGTGTACACACATTTATTGAAATTAAATAAATATCAGCAGATAAAAAGATCATATAACTAAATAATTGAAAACATTTATTTAATTAATCTCAATAAGGCAAAACTTGTACGAAACCAAAAAAAGGTCCCATAAATAGATAGTGAAATCATACATAATAAGTGTTCATAAAGAGTCAATAAAAGAACACGCCAACGCGCAAGGGGGCCGGCAGCCGCCCCTCTCATTTTCATAATTTTTTCCACAACTATTTTTTATGTAATTAAGAAAAAAGTCAATAACTATCTAAATCATAATTGTTGATTGGGAGTGTATTTATAACAATGGAGAAAATTTGCATAATATTTTACCAAAGAATAGATTCAATGAAAAATGTGAATGTATATGATCCAATGATAAAAGTCTCCATGTTTACGTGGATGGAATCATCTTTACCTAAGAATAAATTCAACCCTCATTTTCATGATTTCGTCTTCAATGCCTCATGCAGGACCCAACTACCAGTTGTTAAATTAAACGAGTCTAGCTCCGCTCGATAAGACTCGAAAAAGAATTTTTATATAACTTTTATAATTCGGCTCATTAAAACTCGAGATCGACTCATTAAGGCTCGAGATCAGCTCGTTATTAATGATAATTGAGCCAAACTCGAGCTCGATTTCAGACTTGTTTATTTAACGAGCCGAGTTCAGCTCATTTACAAGCCTACCAACAACTAAGAAGGAACAAAAAAATTATACCGTTCACCTATAGTATCTTTTATTTGCATATCTACGATTTTTTTCAACTCCAAATATACTAATTGTCAGAGTTTATAAATTATTGATTCGTAGTTTATTTTTCTCATTGGATTTTAGATTGTACTATATTTTGATTTATGACTCGTTTATGAATAATTTATATATTTATAATTAATAAACATTTAAAATGACAAAAAATACCAATTTGGAGAGTTTACAGTTTATCACGGCCCAATACATGAAGTAAACAACACCGTTTACACAGTATGGGCCCGGAAAACGCCCAACTGTACAATCAAACTTCATACAAGCTGGGCCCAAATGTTAATTCAGATTCAGACTAATTATGAACATGAACCCAACATGATGTTACTGTTAGTCCCAATACTAACCTCATTAACTTAAAAGTCACTTGAGTTTCCTGCCAAACAGAACCAGTTGAAAGACCATGTAATCTTTATGATAACTGCTAGATCAAAACAACAAAACATTACTTGAGGTGAAAAAAAAAACTGATCTTGTTCAGCATTTTACAAAAAAATATACAGATTTGATGAGAAAATTCACGGTTTTTCTTCACTGACACGACACGAACATTCTAATGCTCGTGCGCGTTCAATATCCGGATAAGTTTGTTCTCTGATGATGGGATGTTTGTGGATATTTTCGGTACAAATTGGCCCTTCTCGAATTTTCTCCTCCATCATTACGGATATTATTTGCCGGTGTTTTCTTGCAGGAATTCATTGCCTTAAGAACATAATTATCGTCGTGTAGCTCAAATGGGGTGCTGAGATTCAATTAAAATATTTCGATTCTAGTGAGAGAGAACAGCAAAATATCATTTTGTGAAGCATACACCAAAAAAGCTTTGATAAAAGCACAAAAATCTTCATATATTTTAGCCTTACCTATTAAAATCGAAATGCACAAGCTGCATGTCTTCTGATATTTCAACCTCCACGGTTGCATGAGGACGAGTCTGCAGTTGAGCAACCAATCAACGAGAAG